TCAAGATTGAGATGCAAGGTGATGAAACAGCATCTGCTTATCTGATCAGGGCAAAAGATTATGTTGATGCCCTTGCTAATATTGGTGAACCAATCAAAGAAAAGGATATTGTCTTGTTAATTATATCGGGTCTTCTTGAAGAATATAATGGCTTAAAAGCTACCATTCTTGCTCGACAAACTCCAACGGCTTTTGTTGAACTTCACAGCCTTGTATCTGATCATGATTATATGATCAAAAAGTTTGTTCCTACTATTTCACCTATACACGCTTTTGATGCCACAATTAATCGTCCTTCTACAACCACCAGTTCATAAAACGACACCATACATACACTTTAACAACTTGTCTCTGAACTAGGTCTCCAGCTACAACCGATCAACCAGCCTTCTTTACCTCTTGCACTCAAAACTCTTGAGGACGAGGCTTACAAAATCGTCATGGACAGGGATCTCATCACAATCAACAATCCGGGGGTAGTAGAGGTCAATTCAGTTGGGATAATAACCAAAACACGGTGTATGACACATGCAACAGATGTGGTATCGTCCATGTACCATCTCAGTGTCCTAACCGTGATCCCACAACCATGAAACCAAGGTCACAGTAGCCATCAGCAAATTTTGCTAATTTTCGGTCACAACAATCCAACTCATGGCTTCCTGGCACCGGCTCGAATAGCCATGTAACCCACGACATCTCCAGTCTTGACCACCATGAGCCCTACTATGGTGAGGATGCTCTTCATGTTGGGAATGGTAACGGCCTACCAATTCTTCACGTTGGTTCTACTCATTTCTATTCACCCTCCAAAACTTTCTCTATTTCTAATATACTCCATGTTCCGGAAATGAAAAGAAATCTCCTTTCTGTTCAACAATTTTTCTATGATAATCATGTTTTCTTTGAATTTCACTCTTCTTTTTTTGCTATTAAGGACACGTCTACATGCAATACCCTCCTCACGGGTCAAAATAACAATGGGCTTTACTCTATTCGCCTTCCTCAAATTCGACGTGTTCCTAGAGTTGCTTTCACCACCGTCCGTGCCTCTTCCAACATTTGGCATCAAAGACTTGGTCATCTACACTCATAGCTTTTACAAACTATGTTTTCTAGATATAGTCTTCCTGTTTCCAATAAAAGTTCAAATTCCTTTTGTAATCCCTGTCACATTGAGAAATCATCGAAACTTCATTTATCATCTTCTAATTTTCATAGTAATAAATTTTTGGATTTACTATTTTGTGATGTTTGGGGTCCTGCACCCATTTACTATGTGTGGATGACTTCTCTCGGTACATGTGGATCTTTCCCTTGAAATAGAAATCTGATGTTTATGCCAATTTTAAGCAATTTATGGCTCTTGTTGAATGACAATTCAACACTAAACTGAAATCGGACCAAACCAATTTGGGGGGGGGGGGGTGAATTCAGAAATTTGTCACAAATTTTCACCTCACTTGGGGTTCTTCACCGTCTTTCATGTCCCCACAAAGTGTAAACAAAACGAGCTGGTTGAAAGACATCACAGACATGTCGTCGAGACTGGTCTCACCTTACTCTCACAATCTGTTGTTCTTACTAAAATTTGACACTTTGCTTATGACACAATAGTTTATCTTATAAACTGGATGCCATCTCGTAACCTTGCCAACAAGTCACCATTTGAACATATCTTCAACCACAAACCGGATTACTCCTTTTTGAAAGTTTTTGGGTCTCAATGCTTTCCACATATACACCCCTACAATAAGCACAAAATGGTTTATGCTCAGTACCTTGTGTTTTTCTCGGGTATATCACCTCCCATCATGGGTATCGATGCCTTGACATAGCCACTGGAAGACTATACATAGCCCGACATGTTCGTTTTAACAAACAATTCTTCTCTTTTTTAGAACATGCACCTCCTACCTTACCTACCGAAACCTCACAACTACACCCATATGTGTCCAGCTACCCATCCATTTTCGTCACATCGGACCCCCAAACTACACCCAACCTCCACCAGCCTACTGTTCCTCTCCAAAAATACAGTCGACGCTCCAAAACTACCGCCACCACCATTCCCCCAGAAACGGTTGTTCAGCTGCAACTCGCTGCTCCACCGGAGTCTGATGTACCTCCTGATACAGCTGCTCCTCCCCAGGTTCACCCTCCTACCTTGAGACCTCACCAAAAACCGAGAGTTCCTTATGATCCCTCAGCATACCACACTTTATCTCCACTAAAACTGAGCCCACCTTGTTCTTGGTTTCTAACCGTGACCCTAACTGGGAAAAAGCCATGACTGAAGAGTATACTACCTTAATTCGAAATGGCACTTGGTCTTTAGTCCCTCCGGTATATAATGTAAACATTATTGATTGCAAGTGGGTCTACAAAATCAAAAGGCATCAATCTGGTGCCATCAAAAGGTAAAAAGAAAGGCTTGTTGTGAAAGGATTTCACCAACAATCGGGAATCGATTACCATGAAACTTTCAGTCCAGTGGTCAAATTCACCATTGTTCAGGTTGTTCTCTCTCTATCTATTTCACAACGATGGACGCTTCGTCAACTAGATGTTTAAAATGCATTCATGCATGATGATCTTACAAAGAAAATTTATCTAAGGCAACCTCGCGGTTTTGCTGACCCACAAAGGTCGGATCATGTATGTCGCCTTCACAAGTCTCTATATAGGCTCAAACAAGCACCTCGAGCCTGGTTTCACTGTTTATCTCGGGTTCTTCTTTCTCTCTGATTTAGTGGGTCCAAAAACGATCCTTCACTCTTCATTTACTCATCTAGAGACACACTCTTATATATGCTAGTATATGTTGATGACATCATTTTGACAGGTAATAATTCTGCAACCATTGATCAAGTTGTCAAGAAATTGAGCTGTACGTTTGCCATTCAAGATATGGCCCTCTTACATACTTTCTCGGCATTGAGGTTACTCCACGAGGTTCAGATTTGCTTCTTTCTTTCTTTCTTTCTTTCTCTCTCTCTCTCTCTCTCTCTCTCTCTATATATATATATATATATATATATATATATATATATATATATATATATATATATATATATATATATATATATATATATATATATTGGAATTTCTCAAAAAAGTTGGTCTCTTACAGGTTAAACCTGTTAATACACAATCACCACATCTGCTAACTTAGGTCTTGATGATAGTCCACCTTTTGACAATCATGTGCGCTATCGACAAATAGTTGGAGTTTTACAGTATGTTACCATGTCCAGACCAGACATTAGCTATGCAGTCAACAAAGTCTGTCAGTTCATGCACGCTCCAACAAAAAATCATTGGTTGGCTGTCAAAAGAATCCTCTGGTATCTACAAGACACAACAGATTATGGGCTTCTTATTCAAAACGCCTCTAATTCCACCTTACATGCCTACACTGATGCACATTCTCCTTTTCTGAATGCCTATTCCGATGATGATTGGGCTGGTTGCCCGGATAACCTTCGATCCACCGGGGGATGTGTTGTCTATCTTGGTTCCAACCTTGTCTCATGGTCCGCAAAGAAACAAAAAAATCTATCTCGTTCATCAAGTATAAATCTTTAACAGATACGGTGGCTGAGGTAATTTGGCAGGAAGCTTTTCTTCAAGAACTACGGGTTCCTATTACTACAATTCCTACTTTGTGGTGTGATAATCTAGGAGCTACCTATTTATCAGCCAATCCAGTCTTCCATGCTCGTACAAAACATGTTGAAGTGGACTTTCATTTTGTTAGAGAAAAGGTTGCAGAAAGGAAGCTCTCAGCACATCTCCACTGATGATCAGATAGCTGATGTTTTTACCAAGCCATTGTCCTCTCAACGTTTTGAATGTCTTCAGTAGATCGATTCCCGCCCTTACCTTGCGGGGGAATATTAGACAATTATTATATTCTAAAAAGGTACAATGTGTAATTATGTACATTATATATACCTATGTAATCTGTCATTATTAATACAAGATATCACAATACATTTAACTCTCCATAATGATCCAAATGTTCTTGATAAAAGCGGAATGAAAAACCATCTTGTCCGAGAGTTTTAACGAGAGCACAACTCCAAACCACATGTTTAATCTCATGGATGAAAGGCAACTCTATATAGTCTCTTTGATTCATGTAAAAAATTATCATGTCGCTATAAAAAAATATGACCTTATACCCGGAAGATCCTAGCAAGATGTCCAAACAGATTTATGCCAAAATTTTGAAGTGGTTGCTGCCATTGATTAAGAGAACCGTGAAAAAATTTGGTATTTTTTTTTCCCTTGGATGATAGCTAACTTGATCTTAGTGTTTTGGCGAAGAGCGGATAGTTTTTCAGCATTAATCAAAGGATACTTTTAATTTTCCGCAACGCCTCCACCTAAAACAGGCTAAGTGAAAAGTTGGTTAATTAAGACCATAAATTGCGATTTTCAAAGAGTCACAAAGTCCATTTTTCCACTTCAAACTTCCTCCATAATTATAATTTGATGGGTTCCTTTGAGGGCCTTGAGTTCTCAACAGATAGATGTTGAAAGGAATATTAGAGGACCAATCAAGCCAAGGAGGGAAGCATTCAGGCCTTCAGGATGACCAACTCAAAGTCTCGGAGGCCCATCCAGAAACGGAATATTTCAAATTGGATTGGGCCGAAATCCAGGTCGTGAATACTGAATATATAATATATTAACGATCTACAACGGCTAAGAAGAGTTAAGTATACATTCTTTATGTTAATAGAAGTCGTTAATTTCAGGTGTTCAAGAAAAAGTCTGTTGTTGAAATCAATCTACTCACAATTTTATATTATGTTTGTCTTTCATCTTTACTGGATGGGATTTTTTTCTTTTATAAATGTTTCTTATGTACCACAAAATGAAACTTTACTGTTTTAGGTGTCAATATAATAACATTAATTCAGAAGCTCTGATGTCAACATTTGAAGCTTTAAAGGATGTAATTGTCATTAAATCAAACTTGAGCAACAAGTTCCTTGCAAATTAATAATTGTAATTATGTTACAAAGTGACATATTTCGGTAATTAATACTATTAAGTATTAACAAATACTACATATGAGCATGAAAGTGTTTGTCGTCGTTTTGGTCGAAATTTAGAAGCATAAACATGCTTTTGTTGGGACTTTTCCAGTTATCCTAATCATTTCGGCCTTCTCCTTAACCTTTATTACTTCCTTCCTTTGGTTTTCCTCAGCCTGTGATCTTGCTCCTTCGGCAATCTGATCAATCATCTCTATCTCAGTCTTGTAATTTTGCAAAACTCGAGCCCTTTTCTTTCCCGACTCGTCCTGCAAAAAAGCTTCAATATATCACTTACTTCCAAAAATTAAACATCTTTGTGTATAAGTCGTAAGAAAAATGAGAATCAAACCTTAGTTCTTGACAACTTCTTCTGGGCTTTCTCCTTCTTCTCGGTTTCCCACTCAAGTATTTTGGCATTCAACCTCTCGTACCTGATAATGCATGCTCCCATAAATATGGTGAAAAACAAGTTCTTTTTAGTGGAAAAATATTGGTTACGCAGAAAAGCATACACATTCATGAGTTTAAAGAGAACCTGGTATAAAAACGAGTTAATTATCAAATATCCTAGTTTAATTAAAGTGTGACATATACCGTTCTTTGATTCTTTCCATCTCGTTTTTCTCCCAGGCATCCGCCTTTACGTCTTCGAGTGTGGGTTGTGAGTGCTTTCTATCGACTTCAGTTGCTGGGAATGTGAGTTGTTCAGTCGGTTGTTCACGACGACTACTTTCCAAACCAGTTTCAGGTTTTCTTTTGTCAGATTGCTTTTGGAAAGAATCAGAAGTCTTCTTGACGAATGGCGATGAACTAAAAGCTTCGCCTGTGAAATCTGTGTTTGATGGACGATTAGGCTTGTCGGAGACCTTTTCTTGTGATTCTGTAGAACGAAAATTCAAAACTGATGAGCATAATACATTGAATCTCCAGCTTTTTGACTTTCTAAACCATTTGTATTCAGCTGTATATCGGAATAAAAAATACTAAAACCTTTGTTATGATTACTATTTAAGATTATTGTACCTGATGATTTCTTGGGTAGTAAACTAGGGCTGGACATGTGAACTGTGTTATCATCCTTGTTCTTCATCTTATTGTTTGAAAAAGAAGAAGAAGAGATTCTTTCTCTTGCCCTTCTGGTTACAGAAACTGCACCATCATCTGTTTTGCTCTTGCCCTTGCTCAAACTGTCATCACGACGTCGTCTTGTTCTTCTTCGTTCTTCTACTGAACCAATGGCGAATGCAGCTGCAGCAACTGCTGTTCGGAACTCATCACTCTCCATGTAATCAGAATCATAATCATACGTAGGTTCACGAGAAGACTGTCTTCTGTACCAGTTTTGACCTTTTCTATTATCTACACAAGTAACAAAAATGGCTTCAATAAACCCTAGAATTAAATGATATCCCTCATTCCTCGTTTCTTGTTGTGTAATTGTTTTACCTCCTTTCCGTTAAAAAAAAATGTTTTACCTCCTTTAAAAGATCGAGTCCTTGGAGAGGGTGTGTTTTGATCTCTAACGCGTGAAGCTTCTTCTACGATTTCCTCATCCATACCAGCAAATCTCACCCTATATATATAACAAACAATTATATCACATACAATTACTAAATCGATACAGAAACATCGAAAAAGAAAAATGCGAATTTGTCACCTCATTTGCTTAATAAAATTCTCCATTATGATTGAAGATGAACTCGACTATGAATTCGTTCTTAAGAAATGCACCTTGGATTTATGTGAAGCATGAAGCAAGGTTTTTCATGTAACTTTGGGTTTGGTTATTGAAAATGTGTTGGAAAAGAATTCTTTTCTTGAATCTTGATGCGAGTTTTTTTATAACGGAAGGGAATCCACTTTTTGCTTGATGTTCGAAAAAGGGAATCCAATTTCTTCCGATAGTTGTTTAGCTGTTTGGATTTGCGGCTAAACTGAATTAGTAATAGTTAGTTTTATATGTTTTGATTAAAATATAGACAAGAGTTACCCCACAAAAAAACCTTAAGTTTTCAAGGAACATTCGATTTTACCCTTTGATGATTTTTAGGTTCATTAATACCCGAAATTTGGGTAAAATTTTATAATTTTGCCCTTTTTGCCGGTTACCCAGTTCGTAACCAGTTGCTGCACAAATGGCGTGACATATATTTTAAAGGTAAAAATATGTCCAAAAAAATATTAATACATTTGGAAAGCATATGTATACGATTTAAAAACATATATTTATACGTTATTAAAAGCGTTTATAACTTTAAAAACGTTTAATAACACATTAAAAAAATATTTATTTGTATTTAATTGTAAAATAAGTATTTATTTGTACAAAAAATATCATATATAAAAATATGAAAATACCTATTATTATGGTTTGTATTGTATTAATACGTATAAATACATATCGTATACATATAAATACTTATAAATACACATCCTATACGTATAAATATGAAATAAATATATATGTATACTTAGTAATCTGTACAAATACACATAGTTATGTCTTGTATACAATATAAGCCGTATAAATTGGTATTTTTATATTTATATGTATACAATATGTTTTTATACGAAACACACACACACACACACACACACATATATATATATATATATATATATATATATATATATATATATAACTACTAAATACAAATAAAAATATTTTTTATATATACATATGTTTTTAAACATGTACATAGGATTTCAAATATGTATAAATACTAAATAACAAATAAACACATTTTAAAAAAATGTATATATAAACTTTTTATACATTTAATAACACTATTAAAATATATAATAATAATAATAATAATAATAATCAAAATAATAATAATAATAATTAAAGTTAATAAGAATTGTATATGTATTATAGGTTATAATTAAAGAAATCAGGAATTAAGTACACAACTAAAGTTCTAGTCTAGTGGTAAGGTGCTTGGTATCCTTGATACGGAGGTCTGGTGTTCGAATTTCTCTAGGCTCATTTTCTCATTCTGAAGGATTTTTAAGCAAGGCTTGAACATATCAGCGCCAGCGTTGCGCTTCGTCAGCCAATGTGTCACGCCACTTGTGCGGCTAAATGGGCAAAATCACAAAAATTTATGTAAGTTTCCGGCTTTAATGAACCTAAAACTCATTAAAGGGTAAAATCGAGTATTTCTCGAAAACTTAAGGGCTCATTTTCTCTCATCCTGAAGGATTTTTAAGCAAGGCCTGCACATATCAGTGCCAGCGTGGCGCTTCGTCGGCCAATGTGTCACACCACTTGTGCAGAAACCGGTTACCCAACCGGGTAACCTGCTAAATGGGCAAAATCACACAAATTTATGTAAGTTTCCGGCTTTAATGAACCTAAAACTCATTAAAGGGTAAAACCGAGTATTTCTTGAAAACTTAAGGGATCATTTTCTCTCATTCTGAAGGATTTTTAAGCAAGGCTTGCACATATCAGCGCCAGCGTGGCGCTTCGTCAGCCTCCATCAGTGTGTTCGTCAGCCAATGTGTCACGCCACTTGTGTAGAAACCGGTTACCCAACCGGGTAACCTGCTAAATGGGCAAAATAACACAAATTTATGTAAGTTTCCGGCTTTAATGAACCTAAAACTAATTAAGGGGTAAAACCGAGTATTTCTTGAAAAATTAAGGGCTCATTTTCTCTCATTCTGAAGGATTTTTAAGCAAGGCTTGCACATATCAGCGCCAGTGTGGCGCTTCAGCCTCCATCAGTGTGTTCGTCAGCCAATGTGTCACGCCACTTGTGCAGAAACCGGTTACCCAACTGGGTAACCTGCTAAATGGGCAAAATCACACAAATTTATGTAAGTTTCCAGCTTTAATGAACCTAAAACTCATTAAAGGGTAAAACCGAGTATTTCTTGAAAACTTAAGGGCTTTTATGGCATAAACCCTAAAGACAAATAACATAAAGCTAGAGAATGTGGGTGCGGTGTCACCCATGCACAGTTTGCCATATCATCTATGGGAAACACCACCCCCACCGTGTCATTCCGGTCATGGTACTACCGAGCTCAGCTACATTTTATCGAGTCTCTCTCCTCACCTACCCCTTTCCAAACGGCTACTTTGCATTTAATTTTTTTTTATTTTTTTATTCTTTTTCAAAACTTATATTTTATAAATACCATAAACCATATCATTTTAAACCACATCAATACCTTCATTTCTCTCAAAATCACTTGAAAATGCCGTCATCTTTGTCTTATGAGGAATTTCAATTTATGATTGAAGTTGTTGTCACGACTGTTAAAATATTGCAACAAACATACAACATTTTATGCAATGACGTAGCCGAAAGTTCGCAATGATGATCACGAAAATATATTCAGAGAGACCGTGAAGTTGTCCACCAAAGTTTGATGCAAGACTAATTTGACGAGCATGCAACCTCTCAAGGATATTGTTTTCGAAAGTGATTTAGAATGTTCAAACCTTTATATGAACGTATAGTTGAAGATTTGACGAGGGAGTGTCATTATTTCCAACATGTTTCGATGCTAGAGTGTAACACCTAAATCCTGGTATGAATTTATATCTTAAGTATTAAGTTAAAATGTGGGATTTGGTCTTTTAACCCCAACCACGGCGTGGTGATAGGCTTAACACGACGTGGTGATTGCCTTGTCACCACGGCATGACATCCATTGGCACCACGGTATGGTACCGTCATGAACCCAAAACTCTAAGGCTCATTTTTTTAGCCCTATTTAATGAATGATGGGGCTAGGGTTTCCTTCAACCCCAACCTCCATCCCTCCTAAAAGTGTTCTCCTAAAACCCTAGCCACCTTCCTTTTCTCTAAGCCTTTTTGGTGTGTTTGGTAGCATACTTGGAAGAAGAGCATCATCCCTTGGAGCTTGTAGAGTGATTCTTGAAGAGGTTCATCAGCTTGTACATCTAAGTGTCCAAATCTCCATCTTGACGGTTTAACTTTGTAGATCTAACTTGTTTTTAGAATTTTAGTCCTTTTTTATGGTTTTGGTGGAAGTAGAAAGAAGGACTTCAAAGAAATATTACAACTTTATCAATCTCATGTACCCCTAATGAGTTTTATCTTTTGGATCTAAAGCCAAAGAGTGTTTTAGAGTCATGCAATGAATCAAAGTCACATTTTTGCTTATTTTGACCTAAAATGGAGTAGGGCATGTATGAAGTGTTTAGATTCACATAGTTAGGATTTTATGGCTCATCTTGTTATAATTAAGCCTTCTAGAAAGTTTAAGCCTTGATCTTAAAGGATTAAGGATTTATCAAGAAATGGATTCTTCCAAGTGAACCACGGCATGGCAAGGGTCTTGCCACGACGTGGTGAGCAAAGGCTTCGTAACTAGTCTATTTTTACCACGATGTGGCAAGCAGTTGGCCACGGCGTACCAGGCTCGGGAACCACGACTGAAATATCTTAGACCACGACCAAGGGTCTTGCCACGGCATGGTAGCTTGTTGAGTTGACTTTTCATCGTTGACTTTTGGAATAGATTTGACCATGGGTCAAATGTAAGGTTTTAGGTCATAGGTTGAGAATTGACATCGGAATACGTGTATTGGTGGACGTTGTGCTTGCCTTTATGTGTTGTGAACTGTAGAGGTTTCTGCTTGTCTGTGAGATGAGTTTTCTCATTGTGTTACTTTTATAGTGTGTTGTACGTTGGCTATTGATAGCTTTCGGTTATTGATAACCCAATTTGTTGTATGTGAGCTGTTGATAGTTCGTGGTTGTTAATAACCCAAATTGTTGTATTTGAGTTGTTGATAACTCAAGGCTGCTGATAGTCCCTAGGGTTGCTGATAACCCATAGCTGCATTATTATTTAGTTGGGTTTTGGTGTATGTGAAACTTTGGGGAACTCACTAAGATTTGGCTTATAGTTGTGGATTTAAATGTTTCAAGTACTTTTGAGGATCGAAGCAAGACGAAGACATGATTATACACATTATCCAGTAGTCTTCATGATTTTTGAGAGATGTTATGTTTTAATACTCTGATTTTGTTTATGATACATTGTGATACAATGATTTTAATGGTTCTTGGTTTTATGGAAACAACTTTTATCCCTTTTAAATTGAAAAAGTTTACTATGGTTTTTGGGAAGTTACATAGAGGTACACTCGGTTTCACTCCACTACAAAAATGAACATCCATGCTTCGTCAACTAACATACGACATCCTCCCGATGCCTTGGATGACGGTTTTAGGATGTCTACTAGGATCTCATGAGATAGTCTTTACAAATTTTGTAAATTTGTGATTAGAATTTACACTCCAAAATATTTATGTGTAAGCCTACACATAATTGCATCCTGCAACTTCAAGCCCATCATGTTAGCATACATGGCTTTCCTGGAATGCTGGGAAGCTTAGATTGCCTCCGTTAGGCATAGGAAAATTGTCATACCTCACAACATGGTCAATATACACGAGGTGATCATGGTCACCCAACGATCATACTTAAAGCGGTGGCCTCACATGATGAGTGGATTTGGCATGCATTTTTTTGGTTCTCCCGGTTCACTTAACGACATCAACGGACTTAATCGATCACCATTATTCAACAACATATATGACGGATCTACACCAGATTCTTCTTTTCAAGTGCATGGAAAATCATAAAAGTATGGTTACTATTTTGTTGATGGGTTCTATCCTGATTATGTTGTGTTTGGTAAATCATTTTCATGTCCACATGATTCTAGACGGAA